GGTAAATAAAGAAGACAGTTCTCCGAGTTTAAGGTGTGTGCGTTGTCCCAAAGTTGAGATATTCGTCGAGATGTTCCGTGCAAAATTATAGAGCCTAGCATGGAGCCGCCATGTGGAAGGACCTCCTTAGTCCTCCAACATGGCGGCCGGAAAATAGTGTAAACATCTGGAATTTACTTTGGCTATCTAGACAACTGATTATCTGAACCGAACAAAAAACATTTACAAAAGCACTTTTCCTGATACTTTAACTCCTAGAATGGTTAAAAATCACGAGATAAGTGTATATTTTTATGTCACGCACCGCCATAACTCCGAAATTCAAAATGCGCTGGTTTCCAAACGAAAGACGCTATTGAGCTGGAAAGTTGTAAACAAATATAAATTTAGTACCTCTTATGCCTGATAAGGATAAAACCTTTAGGGGCTCTTTAGTTTTGGATTTGAGAATTTGATGACGTCACGTGTACACACTCTATTTAGCCAATGGCGTTTAGCTTGCGTGACCCATGCTAGATGCGTGACCGATACGTTTTTCTCGGAAAGAAATAACTTCCGCCTACAAACATGGCGAAGACTATTCACGTTTTTAATTGTGACAAGTTATGCAATTTAAGCGAGGTGGAATCACTGTTGAAAGCCGTTGAAAAGAGGGTTGCATTCAAGATTTCGAAAATCGTGGAACATCCGTTTAGGGGTGGACAAATTACTAATGAAGTCGAGAAAACTATTCCCCGTTTGAGAGATATGGATTACGCTGTATTTGTTGTGCATGCAGACGAATGTTGTCTCTCGTTCAACGAAGATACCGGCTATGGAAAACTCTATAGAGCTCTCAAGGGACAAGCCGGCTTAGGTAAGTCTTAAGTTTACTTCCAGGCGAGTTTAGATTATGTTTTAATGGTTCGTGTTGGTAAAGCTTTCCACTTTCGGTTTCGAATTCGTCTTTTACTACTCTGTTTACATAGCTTGTCGTTTCTTACTCAGTAGTTTTATATCGACTCCCAACCAAATTGATTAAACATGGTAAAAATCTGTTCGCAATCGTTAAGGCTTTTTTATTTTGTAGTTCTCTCAAAAACAGTGAGACAAGATTGTGCTACTAAACGGGTACGATTCCGTGAAAACCGCAGCTACCCCGTTGCGGCGTTGTGCGGTTCAACCACAGCAAGAGAAGCACTCCCGGCGTTGCGATCATGTGATAATTTCAGGCCACGAACGTGTGATGTAGATCGCCGATTCGTCGGATCAACTTTTTCTCGTCTGACTGATCTTGGGAAGAGAAAATTGATAACATCCTATTAAAATTTTTTCCCGTTCCCGAATATTAGGTCAGTAGAGAAACTGATTTTTAACATAAACAACAACATGGCTGACCTTTAAAGTGGTACTATGATCAAATTTTTCCCCTTTGATCTTTTTAGGTGTATCACACAGAATTCCATGAAAGAATAAAAACGCCGTTTACCGTTTGCAAATATCTGCATTAGTTCCGGAGATATTTAATTTTGAAAAATGTGTAAAATATGCAAATGAGATGACTGATGACGTCATACACTCCACCAGGAGCCATAATCAGGGACGGAGACCGTAAGTCTCGGGATTCGCGCGCACCTATGATATGGGACAAT